CTCAAGGAACTGTGAACTGCTTATCTCAAGCCCTTTGTCTCTAAGATGGCCTGTTTAAGCAGGACACTCCTCTGTCCATAAGGACGATTACCAGGCCATTGAGACATCCAGGGGAGGAAACAGGCTGGAGCTGATCTGGTGTTGATCACGTGAAGGTCATGTGATAAACGAAACCTGCAGAGCATGACATCATTGAAATATGCCCTATAAAAACCCACAGAGACAAGCTGTGGGCAGCCTTCTTCACCACCAAAGAACTGAAGATTGAGGACGAACTGGATGCCGCTGGATCCGTGGTGGTGACCCTCCTTGCAACTCCCACCACCGACTGCTTGCCTGAGGACCAACAGGACGCCACTGGATCCGTGGTGGTGACTATCCTAGCAATCCTATCCCGACTGCTTGCTTGATTTCTACCTTTTCTTCCATTCTATCCTATTGTCACCGTTTTCCACTTTTGATAATAAAGGCTATTTTGACTATACGGCATTTGACCTTGTTTGTGTCTTAATCTTGCTCTTGGGATCATATCGAAACCTTCCCCAACATTGGATCGGGACAGTTTCACAATGTTAGAAAAATGCCAGCTTTATCTTTTGAAATTCTACAATTTACAGTGACCTCTATTTTTGACAGCCCTGAATAATTACATAACAATAACAAATTGTCAGGTCATAAAGTATCCCTTACTCCAGATGGTTTATGTATGTGTTGAAAAGAAGATATTCCTGATGAATCCACTGGTAACCTCCTATTATAATAAAAAATAACCATTTACTCCTGCCCTCTGTTTTCATTTTAAAGATTGCCATTATACTTGCCATCTTCCGTTCCTCGGGATGAATAACTACACTCAGCAGCTCATAGTTCAGCATGCCACACTTGACTTCTTTCAGACCACTTAAATGAGGACCATTCGGTTTTAGTCATTTGTTACTATTCATCTAAAATCCAAGTTTCTTCTTAAAATAATGGATTTCTATAAATTGAAGCTAAAATTCATTTTACTGACACTATTAACTTGAGATAGTTTTTCACTTATTCCCTGTAAATAATGGCTCATGCAAAAGAATCACTCTGACCTCATTTATAGAGGATATTAATGCAAAGAGTTCATTAGTGCTCCCAGCATGCACTTATCTTTCCTAAATGCTCTAATTATACCTTGATCATGTTTTTTCAACACCACATTCCTGCAGTCTTCTTGCTTCCAATGAGTTTAACTTCTGGTTTTATGCTTTTAGCAAACTCAAAATAATTACTTAAAGTAATTCCCTCGAGATAATTTTTCAATCTTTCTTACCAAAGCTTACTTCTAAGTCTGCTAGGCTCTCACTCTTTTCCATTCTCCTTAGTGGGACATGACAAGTACTTTTTAAATAATGGTTGGGTTCTGGATTTTATTTTTCTTTTAACCTCCAGAAGCTCTTTAGTCTTCTATTTACCCACCCTTGGATTTATTTTTAAATAAAAACAATTAAATAAAGTTTTATCCCATTTTTGGAGGGTGTTCACTCCCTTAGAATGTTTTCACCAGTGGCATACATGTGCAATCAGCTCCAAGTACTGGAGAGTCCCTCATAACCTGCAAGCATTTTCTCTTTACGTACTCATTTTAAACTCCCACTAAATAGACTCCACGTTTCTTCATAATTGCCTCTTTATAGAAGTTAAACACTATATTGCATTCTCCTCTAGTACATGGATGCAGAAGTTCAGTTGCCAAAATTCATCCTCATTTGTACAGAACTGTTATTTTTAAAACAGCTTGTCCTGGTTTCAGCTGGTATAGAGTTAATTGTCTTCCTAGTAGCTGGTAAGGTGCTGTTTTGAGTTCAGTATGTGAAGAATGTTGATAACACTGATGTTTTCAGTTGTTGCTAAGTAGTGTTCAGTCTAAAGTCAAGGATTTTTCAACTTCTCATCCCCAGCCAGCGGGAAAGTTGGAAGGGCACAAGAAGTTGGCACAAGGACAGAGCCAGGGCACCTGACCCAAAGTGGCCAACGGGGTATTCCATACCATGTGATGTCATGCCCAGTATGTAAACTGGGGGGAGTGGGGGGCGGGGGAGATCGCCACTCAGGGAACTAACTGGGCGTCGATCAGCGGGTGGTGAGCAATTGCACTGCGCATCATTTGTATATTCCAATCCTTTTATTATTGCTGTTGTCATTTTAGTAGTGTTATCATTATCATTGTTAGTTTCTTCTTTCCTGTTCTATTAAACCGTTCTTATCTCAATCCACGAGTTTTACTTCTTTTCCCGATTTTCTCCCACATCCCACAGGGGGTGGAGGGAGGGGGAGCGAGTGAGCAGCTGCGTGGTGCTTAGTTGCTGGTTGGGGTTAAATCACAACACAGCTGCATAGTGAGCCAGGCCATTTCTGCACCATTCCTAAATGGATCAAATTTCACCATTTTCCCAGAAATCCTTACAGTACAAGTAACTAAAATCTTTGAGAAACCAGCTGCAGGTACAAGAACGCTAACCAAGGATGTTATGCGTACAGGATTTGTTTTTCTGCTTTCTTCAAATTCAATAATTATAGCTCATGCCTTTTAACAATAGGTACAGATGATAGAATGGGGGATGAGGAGCCACAGAAAGAAAGTAACAGGAGATATTCAATCCAATCTGTAATTAACATAACTATCCAGAAACCAAAAGCAGAGAGAAATACCAGGTAAGGAGGTACCATAAAAACTTCCAATTTGCTAAAGGCCAGGAAAGTACATAAAGGCTGCATCACTGGAAATGTGATCTGTGCTTATACTCTTTCTCCTAAGCAGTCACTGTTGGATACAGAATACTGGGCTGAGTGACTCTCTCTCTCTTGTGTTAAGTGTCTCAGTCATCAAGAAAATTCACAGCATTTCAAAATTTAATAGAAAAAAAGAACAAAACAAAAAAATTACTAAGAAAAGTTATCAGAATTTTCCCTCTGAAGACTTACAAAACTAAATAATCTAGAAATCATTTATCTCCCTTCAAGTTTGCTAGTCTTCCTTGCATTAATAATTACTTAATATAATGTAAAAAATACAAAAACTAAACCAAGGACAACTGAACATGCTCTAAGAGTCAAACGTTATTTCCAGTTTGAAGTGAAGAAATTTGGAATCAATTAATATATGAATACACTAACAATACTTCTCACAAAGTTTAGAAATTTCAGGGGCAAGCCAAGTACATTACTGTATAAATGCACACATGTTTCTTAGAAAAGGCCGAATGGCCTTTCATTTGAGTTTGGAAAAATCCAAGCAAAAAACTATTTCTCTTTTTGAGACCACTTTCCACTATGTCTTCATAGGGGCATTGCAAACATTTGCTATTACCAGACTCGGGAATCTCAAACTAGCCTGGTTTTATTTTCACACCTCTGAAAAGAATCAGAGCACAAAAAGCAATCGTGCAAGCTGTTCAGTGGAAGCAGTCACATGAAAACATCAGACTAAACACAGGACAAATTGAGCACATTAATAATAATTTCAGAAAGACACGTTAATATTGATTTACAAACTTACCTTTGATGCCCAGATTTTAGTTCAAATTTTTTTTAAATTCCATTCCACTTATGTTTTAATATAGACATTCATACACACACACACTAAGCACCATTTTTGATGAAAATTACCTCTTCTAAAGAAAATACTTAATGGAGACAAAACAATAAAAGAAGAATAAGGTCCTTGAGAAAATGGCAACCACTTCTCTTTGTTATGCTTATTATCATATGCTGCGGACAGTACAGAGTTTTATTGTGTCTTTACATTTTCATTTACTTGTAAATGTTTGCATGACAGATACGCTAGTTAATTATAGTTAATAGCCTGCACTATTACACAGGTTCTGAAGCAAAGTTTTATGTGTTTGGGGTTTTTTTTGGAAGGGAAGGTAAAGAAGGAAATCAAATACCGGCAACAAGATGTGTTTATTTAACTGGAATCCAAGGGCATAATTTTTTGAGTATGCTAGTGGCACAGAATGAGAACTTCTACCAAAAGCAGCTGAATCAGAAGATGCATAAACCACTCTAAATTCTGATAATCTTTCTAGAAGAACTTCCTGCCAGATGGTTTATATCATCAGGTTAAATGTTTTCTACAGGGCACTATCATGGCTTTTCTGATTCTTCTAAGTATCACCTGAAGGAGGAGAGTTTTCAGAAATTTTAAAAAGAAAAAAGAAAAAAGAAAAAAAACAAACCCTAAAAACTACTCTCCAGGATCTAGATAAATTGAAAAACAAATTTTGTCTGTGATGATACTAATTCCACGCTAACAAGCTTTTTCAAAACCTGCTCGGTGGTGCACAAAATACTGGAGCAGTAACCTAGTAAAATTTGAAGCATGCTAGAGAAACTGTATGTTGTAGCTATTTGGAAATCATCTGTGTCCAACACTTCAAGCACATAAAGTATCCTTTATTACTCAGTTTGGATGACAGAAATTAATCACTCCATTTGCACTGCAGTGTCTGTCTGTGAGCTGGCTGCTCTTTAAGTGGAATCACTCATGGAAACATAATGTATGAATCTGTGTGGCCTGTGAGCATAAATTATCTCATTATCCATGACATCCTGATGGAATTTCAGGTAGTTTGCTTCAAATCTCATTGAGTCTTGTAACTTCTAGATGGAAGAGACATCCTAAACACTAAGAAAAATGCTGCTTCTATTTGTCACTAATTTGGGGAAAACATGCTTTGTTGGGCGTAAGTAACCTATTAATGTACAACACACTCTAAAAGCATTCACCTCAAAAACATCAAATTCTACAGGCAGAGGAACTGAACACACCACATTTCCTGCATGCATACAAGTCTCCATCACTTTGATAACATCTATGAGGACCGTCTTACAACAGACTTGATTATTATTCAAGACAATCAGAATTCTCAACCAAAAGCAACATACCTACAGCACTGAGGACTCATGTCCTCCCTGATATTTCTAATAAAATGCTTAATTAAAAAGCCATACACACAACACCTTACCTTTGACACCATACGCATGAACAGTGAGTTTTGATCCTCTGCTGTTCTCATCTTCTCATTTTTGACCAAATCCTTCAGGTTCATACTATCATCATCCTGAAAATACCTTATTCTTTCTTTATCTATATGAGTAGGGAACTGGAACCAAACATATTGAAAATAAATATTAACCTAGTGAGAAAGATCAACTATAAAACTCAGATGCTAGTAATTTCAACAAGTTCAAAGAATCATGAATCAAGCTAAGCACATCTGAAACAACTGGGCTTGCTGCTTCATTTGACTTAAGAAAAAGAACATCTTCACCTTTCTTCAATTGCATCAGTATGTCTAAATAAAAATACAGCCTCTTCCCACAGCTGCTATATCCTTTATTACCTTAAGCTACAACATTACCGCTCAGGAAGGATGTACAGTAATTCACTGAAACAGTTAATCAGCTCACAAAAATGGAATATTCCAAAAACTAATCTTCATTATTTACAGAAGCTTTTGAATTGTGAAGTCACAGACACTACTGAAACACAGCAATAACAGACAGTACTGAAAACCTGTATAAATGTGGTACCTCTTCTGGGAAATGTTGCCATCTTAGACAGACTGCACAGGAAAACAGAATTTGTCCTCTAGGACAGGACTAAACTAAATCCTGAAGGAGCATAGGGAATGGTCATTAACATAAAGCAAGATGGCATTTTCCAAAATGGAAACAACAGGAGGATGACAACCAATTCCTCACCCTCTTGTGCCTTTCGCTCCTCCATAGCAGTGTTACAAACTGATCTGTCCTACTCATCAAGAACACACCTGCTAGAAATATGAGGTGTTGTCATCTCCTCTCATCCCAAGAGGATCGAAATATTAGTTTATTTACTGTTGCAAGCAATTATCCTAAGAATAAAACACTGCTCCAGGCTTCAAGCTTCTCACTGCTCCCCAAAGCACTTTGTTACAAAGATTAGGTCATAATTTTTACTATCAGCAGTAGCAGTATTTTTGATCAGAAGAAAAGGAAAGGAAAATTAGCCCCTGAGTATCTCAGTAAAATCTTTCTTATTTTGAAAATATTCACCTCTGCTAATCTTCATTATTTATGTAACTTTATGTAATATAAACTACTTGGCTAAGAGACTGTGATAACTTGAAAAAATTACGTTTCCTTGAATGTGCATTTAAATAAGCCCCAAAGTAATCCCTAGGGAAATGCAGTCTGAAAATAAACTTAATACATGCTTAATAAATATGTACTCTAACACTTAATTACAATCATCTTCTGAAAGGAACTTTTTAACTACCTATTGACATTCTGATAAGACACATATTAATTATGGCATCATAAAAGTAAAACTACAAAATCATTTCAGAATTACACTTTAATACTCACATTTGTAAAACTTACCATCTGTCGCTTTCTCCGTCCTCCTTTTGGCTCCTGTGGTTCAGCTGGTGTGGTCACAGGCCATGCCCTTCCACTTTGATCTGTTCTGACAAGGACCACTTGTTCATCTTCTTGATGGCTTGAAGCCTGTGCCAGGTTTTAAGATATATTTTAAAACAGATGATACAGACAAAACCAAAAGAAACACCCAACCCACACTGATTAAATGTTTAAAATCCTAAAGATTAAATAACAGATCCTTTACATTTTGCATGTTCATTATAATTCAAAGCAGACAGTATTACCTTACACAAGGTATTCTTATCCACATTCAAAAAGAACAGAATATTAAAAATATATTCAGCTAGTTAAGTAGAGTTAAAACCCTTTCCAAAAACAACCAAGTTTGTACTCTTTGTTCTTTTTCATAAAGCTTCATTCCCAGAAGAAATACAATGCTTCTGAAGACAAACAGATAATATTGAATTAATATATACCACCACCATTATAACAGTGTATTCCTGAAAACTGTCCGAAAAGCTGCAGCACGTCACCACTTCTGGGCTTTTTGGTGGATTGGGGCAGGGGATGTGTGTGCAGTGTTTGTTTGGTATATTTTTTTCCTTTCAAAACTTGGCTAACAAACCAGCCAACACATTAGCTATTGTTTTTCAACACATTTTCAACACATTCAACACATTAGATCAGACTTTAGTTTCCTACACTGCACCTACCACCAGTACAGATCACTTTTATCAAAATGTAATACTGAAATTTTTTAATCTTGATCCTAGGATATGCAGTATAGGAAATACAAACAGCTCAACACAAGTATCTCTGTGGTGAAGAAGATATAGATGAGTAGGTGTACATTGATTATTTAGGTCAAATTAAATTATAGACTGAGGCAGAAATGACAACATTTAAATCATCTGTTCGTGTGCCGAAATATATGGAAACAAAAACAAGCATTTACCTGATATACACCAAAAATAAGTCATTTGTCTTTGGATGGCAAACACATTCAGTCTCACCTAAACTACACTTCTACTTAATTACTGCTTCTACATACCAAAAGAAATTTGGGAATCATGAGGAAGGTGTCTTCTAAATGTAACTAAACCAAGCTCTTGAGGTGCTGGAGATATGAGGTGAGAGGCATACACAGGACAGGGCAACAAGGGAAGCTTTCACACACTTATCCTTGGTCCTCATAGTGGAGTAGAACCACCAGTTCATCTGCTGGAAGAGCAACACAGTAGGGCACAAGCAATCCAGATTTCAAATGCATTGAGGACAAGTATTGACACAAATGCTGAACAAACTGACAAGGAGTGTTGCTCTACTGAATTTTCTACTTACAAATTTTTAAAAAACAGCCTAATAAGGGACATGGAAGTCAGCAGCTGCCTTGACTGCAGCAACCACAAGACAGTGGAGCTTAAGATTCTAAGGGAAATGAGGAAGGCAAGTTACAGAACAAAGAAAAACCCCTGGATTATAGGAAAATTGACTTCAGCTTATTCAGGAATCTGCTTGACTGGATCTCACGAGAGATGGTCGTGAATGACAAAGGTGCCCAAGAGAGCTGTTGATCTTCAAGGACAACCTCCATAGAGGATGAGAAGGGTCCATTTGATCTGCTATTTGGCTAAATGTGGAACTTTCTAAGGAAGCTCAAAAACAAAAAGGAAGCTTACAGAAGGTGGAACCTGAGCCAAGTTACCCAGCAGGACCACAGATGAACTTTCCAGGCATGCAGGGATAGAATTAGAAAAACCACGGCTGAAGCTAAAACTAGCAAGAGATGCGAAGAACAAAAAGAAGGGATTCTATGAGCATACTGGATATCCTTCTACAAGCAAGGACATCACAGGCCCACTGCTGAAAGAGAGGAAGGACCTAGTAACAAAGGACATGAAAGAGGCTAAGACACTCAATACCTTGCCAATCTTCACCAGCAAGGTCTACTCTTTGGCTTCTCAGGCCCCAGTGCCTAGCAGTAGAGTATGGAGGACAGAAGTACTACCTGCAGGAAAGAAGGATCAGCTTAAGGACCACTTAACCAAACTGGAAATATGCTAGCTTATGGATCTAGATGGGATGCATATATTATGCTGGACAAGAATATCACATCTAAAGAGTAGTGGTGATTGGTGGATGCCCCTGGAAAAAGGTAAATGTATACAGTCACCTTCAAAAAGTTGAAGAAGAAACACCTGGGGAACAACAGGATGACCACCCTCACCTCAGTCTCCCAAAAACTGCAGAACAGGTCCTCGTGGAAGCCCCTTCCAAGCCCAAGAACAACAGCAAAGTGACTGGAAACAGCCAACATGGATTTGCAAATGGCAAATCATGCCTGATAAATCTGGCCTCTGCAGTGAGATGCCTGGTTCAGTGCAAAAGGAAAGTACCAGGGATGTTGTTTACCTTTAAGTTTGCAAGGTTTTCAATGCAGTCTCATAGTATTTTGTTGCCAAACTGGAGGGATGCATAGACTGCAAGACAGGTGAGAAATTGTTTGGATTACCAGGCTCAAAGAGTAGCTGTCAATACTCCGAGGTCTAACTGGCACTCTTCATAGTTTAACTAGCACTATGTTACAGAGATCAACCCCTGAGGAACAGCATCTATGAACGCAACTTAACTTCAACACCCTGGACAATGGAACAGAATGGAATTACTCTGGCAAGTTTGCTGAGACACCACATAGGTGGGATGGGGACATGGTTGATAGACTTAAGCATAGGGTTGCCATTCAGAAGGAGCTCTACAACCTGAAAAAATAGGCTGACAAGAACCTCAAACAAATGCGGAGTCTTGCACCTGGGGAAAACTCATGCATTGGCAAAGGTTTAAGACAAACCAGGGGGCGACTGTAGAAAAAAAGACTTGGGATGCTTGGTTGATAGCACATCAAAAAATGAGTTTGTGAGTCAGGTAATCATATCCTGAGCTGCATTTTCCATCTCGTAGATTATACAAAGTAATGAGAATTCTAGAGGCCAAAACACTACCCTGAATCACGAACATGCAATTCATTACACCAATTTATTACCCATAGAAGAACTGCAAAAAAAGCCATTTTCAAAAGATCTCATAAACTACTAAGATTACAGAGGGAAATGGGCAACTGAAACAAGATTAAAGCATTCATTCTCCCAAAACTGCTCTAGCTCTGGACAAAATACAGTAGAAAAACATTCTGAAATAACTCTTATTTTTTTAATGATATAAGTATGTAGCCTTGAAACATGGTTGAGTGAAATAATCAGTTTTGTCAAATACTAAAAAAAATTGTAGATAGAAAGTTATCATTTTCCCCCCTCTGTAAAACTAAACAGAAATGCATTTCTTGTAAATGTATTTTCAGATTAACATCTTTTGTACTATCAGCTAGAAGTTTTTCAGCAATTTTCTACTCTATATTTTAACATTTAACATTGTTACAGATACAAAACAGTCTTTAAGCAGACTTCCTGCGTTCTTTATATAGAACATAATACAACTGCTTATTTACAATGGAGGTAGAGCTTTGTAAGTCTCCACATTGCCTTTGCTTTCCTTGTAATCAACAGGTGTCAGTAAGAAATTTTTTATTCTTAGCAAAAAACAGTTTGCTTATTACTGCAGTCAACAAGTTCTAATCTGCTCTCTTTAATGAGACTAACAGCACTAAATGCACATCTTACCAACTATTTCACAATTACTATTATCTGACAAAGCATGGAGACCTTTTTATGACCTATGAGCCAAAAAAAAATTATTATGTATTTTCTTTTTTCTTTAATATGCTTCTTATAACTGGTGTAAGAGTTCAAAACTTCTAAATAGGAGTTACTCAATCTAGAACTAGTGCAATCAGTCAACTGAATCCTTTGTCTGACATACATCTTCTATTTAAACTGAATAAAGACCAATGAGAAACTAAGATAAACGGTGTCATTTTCCTTTCATTACTTCTATCAGCATTCTGAACACAATTTTCTTTTTTTTTTTTTTTTTGCAATACCAGAGTTCACAAAGCACCATGTCCCAGGACCCAAACTAATAGAAGACAGAACCCAGAACTAGTCCTCTGGTTTGTTTTTTTTAAACTTTCATTTCAAACTTGAAAGGCAGATCACTACTGAAAAGGTATCACAAGATCCATGTCACAACTTACATAGGGGATGCCATCCTAAAAAAGCACATGTCCATTCTACATTATGTTCCTAATCTCTACTTCAGCTGAAGGTGGGAAAAGAAAAAAACCACCAACAAAAAACCCTATTAGCTATGACTCTCAGACTATGACCGAGATTATAGTACAAAGAAGAAAAACAGAACAGCTATGAACACATTAAATGCTGGATATCAGAAAGAAAGAAGTTCACAAAGTGGTCCTTACCATTAGACATAGATACAGAAGGTTAATATGAACACTCCTGGTAATGTTGATTTTTCTTTATCAGAACCCAAGAAGCAAGCTGCCAGTTCCCTGGCTTCAGTTCAATCTGTCAGCCGGTGACAGGTGAATGGATAGTAAAATCACTATCGCTTGTACGAGCAGAGAGGAGATCCCTCAATTTCCTTGTATAACAGTAACATTTTGCCAGATAGTGTAAATCCTTATTATATTGGGCACCTTCAGAACTGTAAGGCCAGGAGCAAACACCTGCCTCAAGGAATTACCTACAAGCGAGGTCTTCTTAGTTTGGACAGAAAAGTATAATCCCTGAACTCCTAGTCTACCTTTCAGCACTTAAGATCTTACGGGCACCTAAGTTTTTCCTGGTGGAGTTCTAGAGTCACATTGAGTTATGCTTCCGAGCATGCCCAAAACTGCTCTCATTTTGCCAGAGATGGGTGGTTTAACATCTATTCCATATCCAAACCCAACCAGAATGGCTGGACTAAACACACTTATCCCTAAGTTTTATCCCTGGTTGGCTTAGTTCACATCCAGTGCCCATTAACACTCTTGAGTTCATTAAAAAGGGCTGCAGCCACAGATTTAATCCAGAAAAACAGTCTTTTGTGAAAATATTCCAGAGGAATATCATTCACTTATTTAACTTCAATGCAGCTCAGGAAGATTACAACTCTATCTCCCATGACTTCTCTACCCACCAAGCAGAGAGAGGAGGAAGAGGAGGCCTGGA